GCGCTGGCCATGATGAGATCCACCCATGACCCCCCTCTTGGACGCCCCCGACCCTTTCGCTCCTCCCTGGGCCGCGAGAAAGGCAGGGGGTGGTACATGGGGGGGCCAGCAAGAACTGCAGAAAAGAAGCCTTCAGGGCCCCTGAAAGGAGCGTTTCGGGTCCAAAAGGGGGCCTTTCGGGCCCGAGAGGTGCTATCTTCCCCCCCCTCATCTATTCGCCTCCCCCCAATTAAGCGGCGCCCGACTTCTGCCGCCTTTGGCCCCTCCGGGGCACCCCCCAGCGCGGCGGCGCCCGCGCGGCCCCCTTTCCCCAGACGTCCTCCGATGTGACTGGTTCCATCCGCGGCCCCAGAATTCCCGACCCCTTCCCCGGGGACAGATCTTGCCTTCCGGATCCGTCGTAATGCCATCCAGCACGATGAATGACACCCCAGGGCCGCAACGAGGGAAAGATGTCGCGATTGAGCAAATCACATCGTCGGGTGTCTGGGTCGACGCCGCCGTCGACGCCACCGCCGTCGCCCCCACTTGCCGTCCGGCGAGGAGCGGGGGACGGGGGAGAGGCGGGGCGAGCATGGGGGGGGCCCCGAGGCACTTGGAAAATCAGCTGCGTGAGCTGACTCCCAGCCCCCCCCTTACGACCCCCCCCCCGCTACGTTCGACCCGAGCAATGGGGGGGGAGAAGAGGGGGGCAGGGCAGGACAGGACCTGCATCGTGCACCACGCGAGGTGCTGCAAGGGAGGGGCGGACGCGCACGGCGAGCGTGGGACCGCGAGTCTGAAGGGACTGCCACAGATTAAGGAAAACTGACTGGCCAATGGTGCTTGCTAGCAGCCACGCTGAGGACTGGTTGTGGCGGGGAGGCGCAGCTCTCCCACGAGACGCGCGGACGCCAACATTGCAAACCCCTGGATACTGACGAAGCCTTCCGTATCACGCCCGTGCCCACAATCTCGCAGAACGGAGCCCCGATAGCTCCATCCACACGATGTCTCAATGAAAGAAGCAAAGGGGGCATCTGATTGGTCTCACGCCCCGCGTTCACATAATAATACCTAATCAAACAGTCTGTTCTTTCTCATCCGGCGGAGCTTGTACACTACTGGACTATGGTCCCCACTTCGCTGTAGATTTAGTAGGGTGTCGTGGCCATGCCATCCGTATCCTTCAGCACCAACACCTCTATGATACAAGCGACGTCACCATAAATACCTAGATGCATACATATACATATGCAAAAAGAGAGAGCGGGAGGCATCATTATTCATACTGCTCTGGTGATATCACAAACCCATGTCGACCAAACAAAACATCGAATGCCACAACCATGTTGTCCCTTATCAGTGGCCAGGCCGCTGCCTGCCAACAGCATGCTTGTAGATGCAATCTGCGACTACGTATTCCAGCACATGGAGCATGAAAGCGCTGCATGGTGTACACGCTGTGCACACAACAATGGAGACAATAGATCGCACGCCGGAGACCTTGGTTTGCAGCTCCATCCAAAACGTATGCATGGTGCCTGCCAGCGAGTCTGCGCAGGAAGTGGCATACATATAACAAGGCTTGGCATTCATAAAATCAGAAGGGCTGATGAAGCAGAACGTATCTGGACAAGCAGCTTAAATTATTGTTGGTTTGGGTATGCACTGCACGCTCCTCTTGTATGACAAGGCGTTCTCGAATGTCCCTGACTTCCTTCCTGACGCTCCAAAAACCGTCGGAACAACTGACGCCGCAAAACACGGGAAAGAAAGAATGGAAAACGGAACGCGAAGGGGGTCGGAAACCCTCACATTGACCTGCAAATTGTGAAGACTGATGGCGATATGCCCCCTCCTGCGAGCATCTCGATCAGTGAATAGGAGAGGACCGGGAGGTGGAGGGTCAGGGTTCCTCCTGCTCCACAACAATTCCCCGTCGCCTGGCCGTGGGAAGTCGGTGGCTCGCGTAGAAATCTCGGGGGCGTCCGAAAAGGGAGGCATCCCAAAGAGGGATTCCCAGATCATGGCCCAAGGCATGTCCGTGGACGAGGGTGGGCCAGGAAACGCAACGCAAGAATGAGAAAAAGAAGAACAATAAAACAAATCCCAAAAACAAAAAAAAAACATAAGCCTTTTTGCCTGCATATTCAGAATCCCTGCGATATGTTTTGTTGGTATATCATGGCCAGTGGGCGTCGCCGATGACATGGGGTAGAAACGATGATGCCGCTAAGCATGCAATAGGGCAACCCTGAAGAGGGGAGGCCGGCCCGGTGGCCGACGCACGCGCGCACGCCGCAGGCTCGCTCCTTTTTTTTCTGTTTCCCTAGAGCCAAGCATCGTCAGGTAAAACGTACAAGTAAAAAAGTGAAACAGACAGTGAAAGCAAGGCTGAAGAGCAGGATGGGCAGCAAGGCGGTTGTGCTGAAGGAACGCATTGACTCCTCCCGCGGCGGGATCCGTAGAGTCGCCCCGACCCCCAACCCAGCTGGCCTGTACATATGTACAGCCACCCGAGCGAACCCCAAAAATATGATACCGGAGAAAAACCCCAATCACGGCTGTAGGCCTAAGAGGGGGCTATAGGGCTATTGAGCTATAGGGCTATAGAGCTATAGGGCTACTTATCGACCACCCTTCGGGTGATAAGGAGGTTCGAGATTCGGGTGATAAGGAGGTTCGGTATCACTCGTGGTCTCACAATCGATCTCACGATCGGTCTCGTTCAATCGATCTCACTCGGCGATCTCACAATCGATTACATTCGATCTATTTCATTCGATCGATATCACAATCGATATGACTATCGATCTCACAACCGATCCCACGATCGATATCACTATCGATTTCACCATCGGTCTCACATTCGGCCTCATTATCGATATCGCTATCGATATCAATATCGATCTCACAATCAACGACATCATCATCATCATCAAAAACATCGTCATCAACGTCATCATCATTCGGACACCATCATCACCACCACCACATCACAATCATCATCAACATCATCTTCATCATCACCATCATCAATATCATCGGGACATCATCATCGTCACCATCATCCTCAACATCATCATCATCCGGACACCACCATCATCATCGGAACACCACCATTATCATTATCTCATCATCATTATGAACATAATTATCAATATCATCGCCATCGCAACTCCATCATGATCATCATCAACACCATCGGGACACCATCATCATCGCCATCGTCATCATCATCGCCATCATTCTCAGAATCGGGGCACCATCATCATGACCATCAGCATCACCATCATCGGGCCATCATCATCAAAATCGCCATCATCACAAAGTTATCATCCGCATCATCAAAATCATCACCATCATCGGGCCACCATCATCGTCATCAGCATCAACACCATCATCGGGACACCATCATCATCATCACCTTCATTAGCAAAATCATCATCATAAACCTCATCATCATGGGGACACAATGATGCTCATCTTCACCATCATCATCAACGTGTCGCCATCATCTTACCATCATCAACATCATCAATAGCATCAACGCCATGATCATCATCGGGACACCATCATCACCGATCACCAAAAACACCATCATCAACATCATCATCATCGGGACACCATCATCACCATCATCATCATCAAAAACAACATCGTCAGCATCACCATCATCACCATCACCGTCACCATCGGGGGGTCATCATCATCGCCACCATCATCATCATCCGCAACATCATCGGCATCATCATTATTATCATCATCCCCATCACCACCATCATCATCATCACCATCGGGACACCGACAGGGCACCGGCGGGACGCCGGCGGGACACCGGCGGGGCACCGCGGGCCCCCCCCCCCGGAAAGGAATCGCTTGGCCCGGCCGCGCCTCAGCCAGAGGCGGGGCACCGGCGGGGCGCCGCGGGCCACCGGCCCCCCGAAAGGAATCATTTAGTCCGGCCGCGCCTCAGCCAGAGGAGACTTTCCTCTCGCCCGCCCGCGCAACTTCGCCTCGCCCGCGCGCGCGGCGCGCGCGAACACGAAACCGAAACCGATGTCCTGGTGGGGGGCTCTCCGTTTCACTTCGATCTCACCCCCTCGCCTCCGATAGAATTGCTGGGCTATTGGGCTGTTGGGCTAGAAGGCGCCCCCGGGCAACCCCGGGCGCGCCCGTGCACCCGAGCGCCCGGGCGCCCGGGCACCCCTGGGCGCCCCTCGGGCACCCGGGCACCCAGGCGCCCCCGGGCGCCCAGGCGCGCCGCGAAAATCGGCGGCAAACCTAACCTAACCATATGAATCAGCTAGGACCCCTACAAGGGCAAGCTCTGATTGGGGAATTTTACCGCTCGACGGTGGTTGCGAGGGGGCGGAAGACCGAAGAAACCCGACGAACCCTGCCTGAGCTAATATTTAAGCAGCTCAGGCCACAATGCCCACGCGCGCCTGGCGCGCCCGCTCCAGGGTGAACTGTGGACCGGTATCGACAAAGTCTTGTACTGAATTCTCTGCCAATCATTCCTCCAATCTCGAGAATTGTCCCAGGGGTCACTGTTGCGCCAGTGCCACTGGTGCTGATCTCTTGAATCATTGTCATATATGTCTCTTCTTCTGCTCGGATTCCAGCTGTCTGACAGGTCCTTGCCCTGGCCTTCATTGGCCGGCCCCGCCTTCGGCGCAGGTGGTGGCGGAGCCCCTGGCAGGGCACTTTGCGTCCAAGGATAACGATGAAACTTGTCGTTGTACTCCTCAAACTAAACCATTGCCAAGTTTTGGTATGATCTGTATTATGTTGATGACGACTCACGTGAACATAGGATCCTTGTACTTCCCCATTATCGTTCTTGTCTTCGCGGTCCAGCGTCGCGTCCCAGTCGCCATCGCTCGCGCAGCCGCCCGTTTCTACAATGGACTCATCTGCCCATGACTGGCCCCGACCAATATCAATCCAGCCGGCGCTACTGCCCGACGCGGCTGGGCTGGCGGGCACGGGAAAATGAGAGACAATCCTCTAGGATTGTCTCTCCGCCCAATTTGATCTCGGTCTCGCTGATGCACGAGAATGCCGCTGGGCTCTCGGCCCCGAGGCGGCAGGGCCTCTCGGGGCTTTGACTTGAGCTAGCGTGGCCGCAGTATCTGCGACAGGCTGTGGAGTCTCTGTGGGAGAATCACCTGGGCCTCTCTCCTCCCTTTGCTTCTTGAGACAATTGGCAAGACCAGCGGCATTGTCTGCGCTGAGGAATCCAAAGCGACTGCTTCCAACGCAAACCCCGGCATTGAACGGGGAGTCTGTGGCCGCGTGCATGAGAGCAAGAGCATCTTGAATACTTCTGCAATGTTGTCTGATAGTTTCTGAAATTGTATTCCTAATCCTGTGGTCCACTCGTGGCGCACGTCGAATTATGCAATTGCGGACCTAATTCGGCAGACCGAGGCATCTGCACCACGGGCGACGCCCGCGTAGTCAGTGGCGGGCTGCGCGTCGCATCCCAGAAACTGCCGCGCAGAGTCCTGCAGACGTGAATGAGAATATCACTTATCGCGCGGCCAGAAGTATCCGTCCTCATCGCCCACGAGCGGGGTCAAGTCAAATGGCTGGGCTCATATCCTATCCACGAGCTCGGGCAATTCGAGCGGCGCGTCGTGAATAGCGTCAGTGTCTAAATTGCGCTGAGACTGCGGATGTGGACAAATATTCAAAGATGAATTGCGCTGCAACTTCGATAATTCCCCGTCGATCGCACGCAAAAAGATTGCGCTTTGCATTGGGCATGCAGCCAGAAATAGATATCAAATCAAGCCAAAAGGGCAGCGTTATATTCGACATACTCAGCTTATGTCGCTGGGCCATAGTGTCATCGCATACACCCTTCGGCATTTCGGCTATTTCTTCACGGGATACGATTGCTTCATCAGAGAGGCTGGGCCGTTGATGGAGTTCAGCAAGTGCCCGGAAATCTATCTCCAACTTCATTCGATGATGAGACTTCGATTGCTTCGGTCAAGTTGTCTGTTAACACTTGAACTGATGGAATTATTACTCCCGTTTCCGCCTGTTGTCGTTCCCTGCGGTCGGGCCCCCCTCCATCTTCGAAGTCATCATCCGAATCAAGAATGGCCTTCTGAATTGCCTCGACCGTTGCATAATCAACTGTTTCGCTCTCGGACGGGCCCGCGCCTGAGGCTAGACCGTCAAATCTATCAGTGAGCAGATCAAGATGATGCGATGGACCAGGCGAAGTCTGAAATTTGACATGTTCTTCATCTGTCCCAAAATCGAATGCGAACTGTCCCTTTCCGATTGTAAGTCGCTCACATCTTCGCCCTGCCCATGCACTGCGAACTGCGCTACTTGTTCGATACTAGACCTCTCAATAGTAGGTATTCCCATGGGGCTCCGATCCAACAACTTCTCCATCTCATGGTCTACGTCAATCGATGGTTGGGAACTCAGATGTACTGGTGCCAAGTCATATGGCCCCTCGGCAGAAGTTTTGGCTGTGCCATACCCTCCTCCCGAGGTTTGTGCTCTAG